ATGACATTGTGCTTAATAAGCCACAGTGATTCACTGAACAACTGCAGCAGGAATGACGCTGTAAGTCTGCATGTCATTTCACTTAATATTTGCGATGCTTAGCAACAGAATTGCCAGTCACAATTGCAATCAGTAAGTGAAGACTACCTATACTTTTATTAATTTAAAGAAATGTATAAAAAGCAGTATCAGTATGCTTGGAGGGAAGGGCACAGCAAAGTAACAAGAGTTGTCAACTTCTCCCAATTCTGGAATTTAAAATTGAATTTTATCCTGTCTGCAAATTTCCTAAACAGAACAATAATAGGTTATTTTCCTAAATTATAAACATGCATGCAACATGTTAGCTACACAGCACTAACTAGATTATAATACTGGAAAAACTAAAAATAGTATGCATCCACAAAACATTTCAGAATCATTGCAGTGCACAGAAAATGTGAAGGCCATACTTAAAATACTTTATTCTGGATACTCCAATTAGAGATGCTGTGATTGCTTCTGAACTTGGTGCAGGTTAAGCACCCATTTTAATATTCAATATGATAAAAATAGATTTTGAGATCCCTATTATGTCTCTTTATCCAACTCTACATACTATAATCATTCATTTCACACTGAGACAAGATCATCTCTTTCTTTTTATTATCCTAGCAACACTAATAAAGATTGCTAAAATGTATTTTTCTGTGGGCAGTTATCTTCTAGAATATGCAAAGCTTCAGAAAGAAGTTTACTAGATACGGATGAATTCTTGTAAAACTGCAGGTGCTTTTCATGAATCACCAGGTGGTACAGTGCTGCCCTACAGCGTCAGCTATTAATTCAAAATTATCGTATCAACCATCCTGTAATGGCAGGGTGGGTTAGGCACAAAGTATGTAGATAAGAATTCTTGGGTGCAAAGATGCCTATAGTCTAACAGAGTGACAAAGAAAAGGAATGAAAGCTGGGACCTATTTTAATAGAAGTGGCTTGACCCACAGTTAAGCTATGAAATTGAAATTGCAAAGAGAGAGAGAGAGATTAAATTATGTAATGTATGAAAATATGTATAAAGAAGTTATTACAAAAATGGCAATCCTCTGATAATTTAATATTTCAGCACTGCCAAAATAATTTGACATTTTTTAATGAGCAACCAGGCAAATAATAAAAATAATAATAAAACCAGGCAACCAGTTGTTTAGGATTTTTTTGCCAACTCCAATGAACAAGAACTCACTTCTGCAAATGCCTAAAGTAACTGGACAGACATAGGATTTAAACTGGGATGAGATGGGGGAAAGAAAGCGACAGGGTGGTTTATGCAGATGCTGGCTACATGTGATACAAATTGCCAAGACCTTGTTAACAATTGTAATACAGGTGAAACTCAAAAAATTAGAATATCATGCAAAAGTTCATTTATTTCAGTAATGCAACTTAAAAGGTGAACCTAATATATGAGATAGACTCATTACATGCAAAACAAGATAGTTCAAGCCGTGATGTGTCAAAATTGAGATGATTATGGCTTACAGCTCATGAAAACCCCAAATCCACAATCTCAGAGAATTAGAATATTGTGAAAAGGCTCAAAGTGTCCCACTCTAATCAGCTAATTAAGCCATAACACCTGCAAAGGGTTCCTGAGCCTTTAAATGGTCTCTCAGTCTGGTTCAGTAGGAATCACAATCATGGGAAAGACTGCTGACCTGACAGTTGTGCAGAAAACCATCATTGACACTCTCCATAAGGAGGGAAAGCCTCAAAAGGTAATTGCAAACGAAGTTGGATGTTCCCAAAGTGCTGTATCAAAGCACATTAATAGAAAGTTATATGGAAGGGAAAAGCATGGAAGAAAAAGGTGCACACGCAGCAGGGATGACCGCAGCCTGGAGAGGATTGTCAGGAAAAGGCCATTCAAAAGTGTTGGGGACTTTCACAAGGAGTGGACTGAGGCTGGAGTCAGTGCATCAAGAGCCACCACACAGACAGATCCTGGACATGGGCTTCAAATGTCGTATTCCTCTTGTCAAGCCACTCCTGAACAACAACGTCAAAAGCATCTTACCTGGGCTAAAGAAAAACAGAACTGGTCTGTTGCTTAGTGGTCCAAAGTCCTCTCTTCTGATGAGAGCAACTTTTGCATCTCATTTGGAAACCAAGGACCCAGGGTCTGGAGGAAGAATGGAGAGGTACACACTGCAAGATGCTTGAAGTCCAGTGTGAAGTTTCCACAGTCTGTGTTGATTTGGGGAGCCATGTCATCTGCTGGTGTTGGTCCACTGTGCTTCATTAAGTCCAGGGTCAACGCAGTCGTCTTCCAGGAGATTTTGGAGCACTTCATGCTTTCTTCCGCAGACGAGCTTTATGGGGATGCTGACTTCATTTTCCAGCAGGACTTGGCACCTGCCCACACTGCCAAAAGCACCAAAACCTGGTTCAATGACTGTGGGATTACTGTGCTTGATTGGCCAGCAAACTCACCTGACCTGAACCCCATAGAGAATCTATGGGGCATTGCCAAGAGAAAGATGAGAGACATGAGACCGAACAATGCAGAAGAGCTGAAGGCCGCTATTGAAGCATCCTGGTCTTCCATAACACCTCAGCAGTGCCACAGGCTGATAGCTTCCATGCCACGCCGCATTGAGGCAGTAATTGCTGCAAAAGGGGCCCAAACCAAGTACTGAGTACATATGCATGCTTATACTTTTCAGAGGTCCGATATTGTTCTATGTACAATCCTTGTTTTATTGATTGCATGTAATATTCTAATTTTCTGAGATTGTGGATTTGGGGTTTTCATGAGCTGTAAACCATAATCATCACAATTATGACACATCACGTCTTGAACTATCTTGCTTTGCATGTAATGAGTCTATTTCATATATTAATTTTACCTTTTAAGTTGCATTACTGAAATAAATGAACTTTTGCACGATATTCTAATTTTTTGAGTTTCACCTGTATGTTAAAAATTGTGTTTATTGAGAGTTTGAAATAGTTTGAAATCTTTTGAGGTATGTCTGTTCAACAATCTCTTGCTCAGTGATGCTGTTAAAATCTGTTTTCCAAGATGCTTACCTTAAGATCTGCAGTCATTGAAATGCTGTGATATTACTCTATCCTTGCAGGAGTTCTGATATTAAAACTTTACCCATTAATTTTTTGCACAATTATTTAGCTCAAAATCACATGTATGAAAAGGTTTCAGGTCCCAAAACTCCAACAAATCAAGGCTCAGTGTTATACAACTCTACCTTATTTCTAGAAAAAGACAGGAATGGCCATATAGGAAACATCTCCAAAGATATGTTAAGACTTTGTCATTCTGATAATTAAGAACACAATCAACATCTTGAAATGGAGCAGAATTGCTTATGGGCAGCTAGTATATTATCTGTGAAGGCTGGCTTGTAATAATTAGCATCAGCTCTCTGGGTGTCATGGACAAAGACTATTATATATTATTCTGACATTTTGCTCTGATCCTTTTAGTGTAGATTTAGTATGTTCCACTGTACTGACTCCTTAATGATTTGAATGTGCAAAACCAAAGAAGAAAATGTCACATTATTTGATCAGCAGGAAAGAATCTCTTGCCTATCATATTTTAAGTTTCATTTCTTGATTCAAATCTTGAATACCATACAATTTTAAGATTGTTATTACCACTGCTGTCCACTGTTTCAGCCTTACCAACATTTACCTGTTATTTTGAAACAAGTTTTTTTTCTGAAATTCATCTTTTATTATCATTACTGCTAGGCACAGTCTCCTTTTTTTTTGATAATTTAGACCAATTATTTGCCTTCTTTTGGTCTACAATGAATGTCATTTACCAAGACCAGCTCTCTGAGTTTTACTGATGGCACAGAGAACACAGAAAGAAGGATGGCATCGAAAGAGACCAATCTTTGCTAAGAGCCAGACAAAAATAATGTCATTTTGATGCAATATAATGAGACCGGTAAGGCAAATGATGCACACAATCAGAACTTCATCCTGGAAATTAATTTCCAATCAGTATCTCTTGAATGAGCTGAATTTCTTTGCTGTAATACATATACCAGATCAAAATTACAGCTTAACATGTGATTTGCATTCATATCAGAATGTTTATTTCCGGATTTATCCATAGCATATAAGCATTTGGTTTAAAAGAAAATCCTTCCGCAATTCTGCATCCATAACTGCATGCATTAGTTATTGCAATATTCAAATTACACATGCAAATGATGAAACTAGAAGACATGGAAAAAGAATTTTGGAGGAAGCAAGGACAATGAATATGCAAGGATTAAAAATATAAAAAATGTAAAAGAGTAGTAAGGAGAACACAAACAGAAGACTAAAAATTTGCATACATGGCTTTCTTTCTATTATACACTGTGATGGTTCAACACCCTTAAGATGTGCACATGCAAAGCAGTTCAAGAGTAAATTATCATTAAACTTGTTTTCTCATACATGCTGACTTAATGAGCTTTGTTTATTTTTGTAGTAATGGGACATATGAACCTAGCTGCTAAGATCTTAGCTACTATAAATTAGACTATTCAGCAATCTATGGATAATAGCAACAATGGCTTTCATGGCAACCTTTTAGTAAAGCAACAATCTCTATGCAGCCATATTGCAAAGGCACTGACAGTATGCTCTACGAATTCCCAATGTATTTCTCCAGATTTAAAGTCATTTTCCCCAATGGCTTGGACTCCAGAATATGCCCTTCAAAAAGAAAAAGTTGTCTGTCTAAAAAGGGGTGACATGACCCAGACCTCACTCCTTTTATAAACCATAGTTAAGACCCTGGAAGCATTACATCTTAAATAGCAAACTGTATTTTATTTTCAGTCCCTTTATAATCATTCTCTGCCTTCTCCCTTTTCTCTGCTACAAAAGACTCCAGTACACTAATGGAAATTTTTCTTTGAATATCCTATAATTTATTTTATCTTATTTTTATCTGTTTTATTTGTATCCTTTATTATTTCCGTCTTCCTCCTTACCTTTGCATTCATCTTCCTGGCTTCCCTTCTAGCTGCCTTTTCTTTAAGCCTTTTCTCCTGTAAAGAACAAAATCAAACATAAGAACATTAAGCAGTGTAGAACAAAGAAGCAACTTGAACCAAAAATGGACATGCCTACATATCACCACCATTAGCTTTTGTAGGCATAATAATGAATATATGATCAGAAAAAAGTTCCCATTTAGCCTTATTTTTAACAAGTGATTAATATTCTTTGCCTGGGCATTTATGCATTCTGAAATGTTGGCTTAACCTAGATGTAGACTGCAGTATTTTCTAAATGCTCTATCTATTTTCAATTTAAAGATAAGTAGAGAGATAAATATATGGACCAACATTTGTCTCTCAGGCTGTGGCAGATTTTCTTTTTGATGTATAGAACCATGAACCAACCACACACAGGGTGACTGAACCACAGAATAGGACACCAATGTGTAAGTTTTCTGTTAGTATCTTTCATCTTTTCCAACCTTGTAAGGGACTGCAGTGATTTCTCAACCCCATTAAAAAACCCTTAAGGTTTCCATTATTCATTTTAGAGCTTAGGTCTCTTTTTCTATGGTGCACACAGAAAAATCATGAATTCTGTGATATGCTGCACTTGTTATTTAGTCACTAAGTCTCTTCACAACCCCATGGCCCATAACACACCAGTCCCCCCATTTTCCATTGTCTCCCTGATTCTGCCCAAACTCATACTCATTGCATCAATGACACTATCTAGCCATCACGTCCTCTTATCATTTCCTTCTCCTTTTGCCTTCAATCTTTCCCAATATCAGAGTCTTTTCCAATGAGTCCTCTCTTCTCATTTGGTGGCCAAGGTATTTGAACTTCAGCCCTATTCTTCCGAAGTATCTGTCCTTCCAAAGGACAGTCAAAGTTGATTTCCCTTAGGACTGACCTTGCAGTCTAAGGGACTCTCAAGAATCTTCTCCAATAACACTATTCAAAAGCATCAATTGACACTCAGCCTTCTTTATGGTCTAATTCTCACAGCCATACATTACTATTGGGAAGACCACAGTTTTGACTGTATGGACCTTTGTAGACCTTTGTAGTTTGGTGGGTACCAGATTTGGGAATGGGCAGTCTGAACAGGGTGCCCTCTATTTTGGGTGCAAGATAATTTCTCCATCGTAGTGTTATGGAGCACAAAGAAGGCAACTGTAAATAATTATTCCTGGCTCTCTTTGCCGTAGCAGCAGCTTGTGTTCTCAATATTTATTTGAACATATGGATGCACTCATAGAGATCAATGAACGTTCATATAATTTATTTTATAAAGACTCCATTTGTTTCAATTACTGTCAAGGTAATTAATGAGTTAGTCGGAATGGGAGCTATGGGTCACAAACTACTCCAGATTAAACATCGGTGATATTGTTCTCCTCTTCTTGTCATCTTTAGACATGTCAGTAACCCAACTGTGACTTGTTCAATTCTTGTACATTCAGTGTAAATACCTTGACTCTGTAAGTCAGTACTCAATTTTCTACCGCCTCCAGCCCAATTTCCAAGCTACTTTGTTATGACCTTCTATGCTGTATCCTGTCAACCTATGTCACTTGCCCATTTCTCTCAAAACCTAGTTGCTCTGCTTAAAACACTACCACTGAAAAGGAGCTGCAACACTCTATTAGAAATGACCTGGGAGAAAGAAAGAGGTGAGGAGATGAGACAGACAAAGGGCATGGGACAAGTTCAGACAGTTGCCAAATTAGAAGATGAAAATAGATTTTGGGGAAAAACATTAAAAATTCATCAGAGAGACTATTCCAAGCATAGGGAGACATCGCTACACTGTGCTATTTTGGTGACATTCATCTATCACCCTTGTAAGCACAACCACAGAAAAACAAGGAGGGCAAAAGGGCAAAATCATCAGTGCTACAACTGTGCAAATTCCAATCCTTTTAGAAAGGCTTGTATGGGAACGAGAGGCAAAACTCTACAAACTGGAGATTACAGAGCAGAGATACCTGGTCAATTTTGCCCATTGAGAGAGAAAGTTTGTGAAGGGAATAGAATACCATTCCAGGGAAAAATAGTGGAAATATATATCAAGTGCATTTTTATAACTGTCATTTTCTATGCACAAAGTACATACACATCAATTTTATAATTAGAATTAATACATAAGTGTACTAGTTGCATGAAGATATTTATCAACCCTTAAAGAGCAGGGCACATTGAGAATGTAGATGTGCTAAACAAAACTCCACATTGGTGACAGGAAAGGCATCCAGCCATTAAACACTCTGCTAGCTCCATTCAGTTTCCCAGACTCCACTCCACTAGGGATTATGGAGTCATTAAAAGATGATGATTATGTACTAGCTAAAGAGCATTAAAGAGGGTAGAGAAATCCTACAAAGAACTATTTGTAGTAGGGTAAGGAAGAACATAAAATTATTTTATGTGCAAAAAAAGCATAACAAAAAAAGTGAAATGGGGATAACTAAAATCTCCTTCTAAATAAAAGTTATTAGATATATCCACAGAAAGACTACAACATGTTGGACATTTATCAAAATGTCAAACTCTGCAAGTGAGATTTCAACAAACATCCAGATTTTTGGCAATCGATAGCTTGAAGACATACAGTACTGTATACTTCCTAAGTATTTTAATATGCCTGCCAACATGTCACAACTGGGGAATTAAAAACATAAAGAACAAAAAACCTCATTTTAAGTGACAAAAATAATAATAATACCCAAATGGATCAAGGAGTATATTACAGGAAAAAATTACAAGTATACGGGGAGTAGGAGATTGTGTTCTTTATATTCAGAAAAAGAACATCTTGACAATTTTTATGGGAAGTTATTCTACTTATAGTAACACTATTGTTAGCATAACTATTAGAGTCCAATAGTTATTCTGATCCCAATAGTTATCCTAATCATCATCATCATCATGAATAGCTATTCTACTCAAGAGCCACGGTGGCACAGTGGTTAGAATGCAGTACTGCAGGCTACTTTTGCTTACTGCCGGCTGACTGCAATTTGGTAGTTTGAATCTCATCAGGCTCAAGGTTGACTCAGCATCCTTCCATCCTTCCGATGTGGTTAAAATGAGGACCCAGATTGTTGGGGGCAATAGGCTGACTCTGTAAACCACTTAGAGAGGGCTGTAAAGCACTGTAAAGCGTTATATAAGTCTGAGTGTTATTCCTATTGCTATCATCATCATCACATAATAACAGAGTCGGAAGGGACCTTGGAGGTCTTCTAGTCCAACCTATTCTACTCCGTCATCATCTATTAAATTTACACACTCGGCGACTCTGAGCAGTTTATAAATTGTTAAAGTGATTTTAAAACAAAACGTGGGGGGAGAAGCAATAGCAGAGAGATGGCAGAAATGATAAAACCAGACATGGCTCAAATCATGCTCATCAGAGCCCTGGGCAAAGACCCGGGTCTTCATAGCCTTTTACAACATAGCCTTTAAAGGGGTGGGGGCTCTTCCAGTTTAAGGGGAACCTCATTCCAGAGGGCAGGCACTGAGACAGAGAATGCACAGTTCTAGGTCCCCATAAATGGCATTGTTTAATTCAGGGGTCTTCAAACTTGACAGCTTAAGACTTGTGGACTTCAACTCCCAGAATTCCTCCACCAGTCATGTTAGCTCAGGAATTCTGGGAGTTGAAGTCCACAAGTCTTAAATTTGCCAAGTTTGAAGATCCTTGGTTTAATTGAAGGATTAATTATCTTTTACAGTTTAGATAAAAGAGTATGCAACAAGAGTTTTGGCTTCATGTGATCCTACGCTTTCGCTTATTTTCCACTTTACTGAACTTTAGTGGTTTAGGTACAAATCCTAAAATACATATAGGTTTACATCTTGATTATCGATATGCATCTTGCTAAACTTTTTAATAAAAGAAAACATATTTATTTTTCCTGGAAATATACTTGGTCTGCAGAATATCATCTCTTATGTTTTCTTGGTGCCAGAATAATGAGTAGAAGACTTCTTGCTAGCCCAGGAAACTCCAACTCAAAATTCAAGCAACTATTCAAAGCTTTGCATAGCCCAATGCTTTCAGAGCACCTACAATGCTTTATGGGATTATGAATGTATTATCTACAGCGAAAATTGCCTTAGGCTGCTCTAACTCTCTACCCTTTTGTAATAAGATAGGCACAGAGAAAACTAGGAATTTTTACATATAAATCTCATGCTCTGCTACTAACCAAGGCAGAATCTCTCCATGAGGCACAGTGGCGATGCCACTACCTTATTATACTGCACACTATATCCTATAATAAGTTATAAACACTCAATAAATGAAATTAGTACTTCTATAGATGCTATTATAAAGAGCATAGAGAGGTAGATACACCTTGTACTTAGAGTATCTAAACCACTGTTTGCTGGCAGTAATGGCTATTGATCGCCTCTATACGTAACAAATATGTATTATCTCCAATATCACAGAAAATGTACCTTTTAATGCTAATTACTATGGGATATGCATGTGAAAGTGACAATGTGCCCATGTTCTATTTGTGAACTTTCTAGAAGCTTTCAGTCAGTGTAGGACTGCAATAACAGATTAAAATGGGAAGTGGATAAAAATAGTTTGTTCAGCTTTTGCTTTTAATTTGGGTTAGTTTGCTGCTAGCTCAAACTTAGTAATAAAGTAATAATTTATAAAGATTTATTTTGTTCTGATAAAACAATGGAAGGAGATGAGAAAATAAGCCAGTAGAAACAAGTTACATTAGAGTAAGAGTAGCATACCACTTCTAGCAAACAGAGAATGGAAGGGAAGGGAGGGGGGAGAAATGGAGGGAAGAAAAGACAATGTTTGAAACAAGTCTTTTAATTTATTTATTTATTTAGCGTATGATGCAGGCATGGTGTCTTTTAATTTCCCTTATTTATTCCATGTTTTCAAGGGCCATGGGGCAAAAGGCCTAAATCCCAGGTCCAACAAAAATGGTTTTCTCAATCATTTCCTCATATTTCTCAGTCAAGACGGTGTGGCAACAAACAAACCTAACTTCCGCCTCTGAATTCTAGTGCCCTCATCTACTAGAAGGGGGGGTTAACTTTAAAATGATAAAACTAATGAGATAAACAGATATTTTTTTAAAAAAACTTGACTGCACCCCAAGTTTACTACACGATCAGAGAAAACAGAAATAGAAACAGCAAAAGATACAGAACAGCAGATGCTAGGCATGAATATTAATTGTTTTTTTTATCTTGTGCTGGCTATGTTAACTACTTTGGGGTTCAATTTTGGGAATTAGTCCAAGCTTTTGTAACAAAATATCTAACAAAAAAATCTGCCCAGGTTTTAAGAGCCAAATCTAAGACTCCACTTCCTTTTATTATGTATGTATGTATGTATGTATGTATGTATGTATGTATGTATGTAAGTATGTTTTCTTAAGAAGCCTGATGATGGCAGATGAGATTCTGCTGAAACGTTGCTACAACTTTAAAAGAACAACTACAATGACGTGGGAAAATACCCGAACCAAGCCGAACACCATGTATGTATGTATGTATGTATTTGCTTTATTTGTTTTATATTGCCGCCTATTCGCCCATGGCGACTCAAGGCGGCTTACACAATGTAAAATCTTATTTAAAACAAAAAATAAAAACAAAAATAATAAGAACTAACAAAAAGAATCAAATAAATTAGTAATGTACAATAGAACAAAATTTACGGAAAAAAAACAAAACAAAATAAAAACCAACTCCCACCCACCCACCCCACCCCAACGATAGCGGATCACACTAGCCATTTGATGGGTTCCATCCCTCTCTGGGTTCCCCAGGCCCACTGGCAAAACCAGATCTTCAGTGCCTTTCGGAATAGTATTAATGAGGGGGGCATTCTAATCTCTGGGGGAATGATGTCCCAGAGCGATGGAGCCACCACAGAGAAGGGTGGCTTCTCTAGGTCCCACCAGGTGTATCTCTCTCAGGAGTGGGACCCGCAGCATTCCCTGCCTCCTCGCTCTAATGGGTCAGGTAGATGTCACTGGCAAGAGATGTTTCCTCAGATAACCCGGACCCAAGCCATTATGTAGTACTGTAAAGGTAAAGTGGTCATGACTAAATGCTGAGGTGCATGGAATGCTTTTTGCCTTCCCACAGAAATGGTACCTATTTATCTATTCACTGCTAGGTTGGCAGGAGCTGGGGCAAGTAACAGGAACTACTCCATCATGCAGCACTTGAATCTCAACCATTCCAGCTGACAAGCTCAGCATCTTTAACCACTGAGCCATTGTGCCCCCTACTATTATGTAGTATGAACCATGAAACCTGGAAATGCCAGGAGCATGTAGCCCCACATTTTTAGAGTGCCCTTTGACAGGAAATGTGCACAAATCTATGCACATTTGCTATAGATTACCTACAGCAATCCTCTGTTATGACCACTCATGGCCAATCTGTTCCTAAGAAGGCTTTCATGTTCAACAATAAATCTTTAGTTCAAATTTCACACATTATGCAAAACTCTCATTGTAAACCAGGCTCAAATACTATTTCATCTCCTCCAGATCAAAAACATATAACTGCCTATCCTTTTATTCCATGTCCCCAGAAAGTTTAATAATCTGCTCTATGAAATACAGATTATTTCTTCTTCCACACATGGAAAGGGGTTGGTCTTGTTACAGTATTTTTATGTGCTTCACCCACAGATACACTATAAATGAGAAGAAGGAGAAGGGCATTAAAGGGAAAGAGTAACATTTATAACTATTCTCTGCTGTCAAGTGCTCAAACTTTCAGCTCTGTTTTATGACAAATAAATGGCCCAGCAACAATCTTTGTATTTTTATGTCCTGTAATTTAATTTCTTGTAAATGCCAAAAGGGAGCTTAAACTATTACTATTAAAGCTTTACATTATAAGTGAAATCAATCACCTTGCTGCAATGACATTTCTTGAATAATTCATTGGCAACTCTCAATCACCCCCTACACAAAACAAAGCTATTTAAATAAAACATCATACTCCTAAAATCTCATTAGTACAGAGCTTTTTAGTCCTCATCATTCTTGATGAAGTACAGTCTTGTTATTATGCTACTCAAATTTTTACCCTTTTATCTACTAACAGTCTATCATACATATAAATTGAATATTGGTCCACAACACCACAAGTCTATGACAAGTCCACTCATATGGTTCGGTTACTGTTTGTACATATTTATTTAAAATCAGAACATCATACTTGAATGTCATAAATTGCTTACTAACAAGAATGGCAATGTTCATGGGGAATAGCAATACTAGGGAAACAAAAGCAAGGATCCACATCTCTCCTTGGATTGCCTCAATTCATGCACCAGACCAGAACAAGAATTCTGAATAGATAATTCTTTTTCCAGTAAAATCCTTCATCCCCAATGAACATGCCGACATTTCACAGTATTTTCATTTGATATTTTGACAAATGGGATGAGATTCTACTTACCCTGTGTTTTTCTTTAATTTTCTTTCTATATTCCTCTTTGTCAAATTTATCCTCCTCCTGAAGTCTTTCTTTTGCTTTGTCTAGATTGATTCCATTACAATCATCGCCATCTTCCTCTTTGTCCAGGATAGACTTTTGTGCTGGTGGCCACTGCTGAATCAACTGAATCACAGAAGAAGAATTAAAAACATTTCAGTACTGCTGTTTCTATTCTTCAGTTTAAAAGGAGTTCTGGATTGCTATGAAGACCAAAAGACATCAGACCCGTGCGACAGGGAATAGTTACAGAAATATAATTTTCAGGCAGGGAAGTTAATAGTGGAAATAAAAATTGAAGTAAGGCCCTGAAATATGACATTGTTTAATTAAAGGGGGTGGTTCAAATGTCAGCTTGTATGAGGTGTGCAGACTCCACAGCAAGCAGGCAGTCCCAAATAACTGGGCCTTGTATCACAGAAGCTTTATAGGTCATAACCATCACTTGGAATCACACCCAGAAGCAAACTGGCAACCAGGGCAGGTCACATACCAGGGATATCAAACAAACATACCAAGAAATGCACTTTACTGCCTGCATTGTTCCATTCTGGACCAATTAAAGTTTCCAAGAGGTCTTTAAGGACAGCTCAGATTCAATGCATTGCAGTAACTGAATCATGAGGTGATTAGAAGAATAACTGTCTCCCAACCCAGGAAAAGGTACAACTGGCACAACAGATGAATCACCTGCTCTCAAAAGGAGATGTAAGTCTAAGAAGGTGCCCAGATTGCACACAACTCTTAAATAACACAATAGCAGAGTTGGAAGGGATCTTGGTGGTCTTCTAGTCCAACCCCCTGCTCAAACAGGAAGCCCTATACATTTCAGACAAATGGTTGTCCAATTTCTTCTTAAAGACCTCCTGGGTTGGGGCGCCTACAACTTCTGGAGGGAAGGTGTTCCACTGGTTGATTGTTTTAACTGTCAGGAAATTTCTCCTTGGTTCTAGGTTGCTTCTCTTCTTGATTAGTTTCCATCCATTGCTTCTTGTCCTGCCTTCAGGTGCTTTAGAGAATAGGTTGACCTCCCCTCTTCTTTGTGGCAGGCCCTTAGAAATTGGAACACTGCTATCATGTCATCCCTAGTCATTATTTTCATTTACCTAGGCATACCTAATTCCTGCAACCGTTCCGAGCCAGAACTGTGACTATCCAAACATAACAAGGTATAGCAAAGACAGATGCATCTTACAGTAGTTTGGTCTATGCCAAAGCAACAAGCCATCCAAATTCAAGAGTCGGGTCAACGTTTCAGAACCAGGAGGATATCAAAAGGTTATTTCATCACCCAATAATTGTACAGCAACAGCTTTTAACACTCTCTTCTCCTCATGTGCAATTAGGGTGCTAATGTGCAAAAGTTCAATCCAGATAAACCGATCATAAAAATCCAAAGAGAATACAGAAGCCAATAGCAGCAGGGGAAAATCAGCTAACATAGCATTTGTTCAAATCCAAAGAGTGAGTATGTATGCATGTATGTATGTATGTATGTATGTATGTATGTATGTATGTATGTATGTCTCATTCAGCGCTATCAGGTATACACTGGAAATCAAGGGGTGGGTGGATAGAAGTGGGAAGCATCACAGTCTTCAGAATTCAAGCTTATATTCCCTGAAAGGGAATACAAAAAAATGATGGGACAAGAACAATGAATTCTCACAATCCCAAGGAAAGGGGATTCACTGAATCTGGAGACAACCAATGATAAACAGTGCTTGTTAAGAAAAAGTAATGAACCTCAGGCACAGAAAACACTGCTACGTAGAAATGGGTACCAATACAATTAATAGAATCATTTCTACTTTTAAGCCTCTGTTTACATATAATGGCATAATCATAAGCACAAATGACTGAAAAGATCAAACTTTTTGAGACTATACGCAACAGTGCTAGACTCCATATCAGATATTCACAAAAACAAGCTTTAATTGATTGACCTCATTATAAAAGTTGGCAATGGTTGTGAGAGAAACACATATTATAGAAAAAAGAAAAACGGGCAAAAAACAAACGGTTGCGACTTTCCATCAAGCTCGCCTACTTACTCTCCGTTTCAAATTAGTTTTTGCAATTGCAATGAACTAAGAGGCAAAGCAGTAAAATTTTGACTTGAGCAGGGGCATTGATCTCAGCCTTCTGCAAACTAACATAAATGCTTCATTGCAAATTGTAATTTCCCTTGCACCCAGTGCTAATGTACTGCTTGCAGAGGTACTGAAAAGGTATTGGGCTCGTTATACTCTTGACAACACTGAGGCGGCTCAAAAGAGGGGAAGGGAAGTCAAGGAAGAATCAGGCTGCGTTCTGTTGAAGACAGAGATGTGACAAATGAAGGTTATATTGATGAAAAGCAACTACGAACCATCATTGTGATTCAGGTCCCCTCTGCCATGCAATTTGGTCCTCTGCCACCCGGAAACATTAACTTATGTAATCCATTCAATCCATTAAATGAGCATGCAGAAATGGGTTTTTTAAACTGTTCCCAATTCCCACAGAAAAAGAACAGACCATATTTGCTATTAGTTTGGCATAGGATTGCAGACTACGCTTATGACAGTTATTCATCAGAAATACTGACTGAATATACAAAAACTAGGAAAGGTACTTTTGGATTTCAGATACAGCATAGTTGAAACTCATTCCAAACTAGGGACATGCAAAACATTTCCAATTTAACTCCAAAACACCACCAGCTTGATTGAAAACCTTCAGCTTGGAACACAAAACAACTGTTCTGAACTCAAAGCAGGTTGTTCATAGGGTGACACATTTTTGTATTTAAGGGAATCTATCAATTCCCCTTGGAAACCTTTACATACTATTTAATTAGAAATAATCAGTAATAATGAACAATCAGGGCGCACTCCCAAAGTTTATATTTTGGGGGCAATGACATTCACCCTGGCTTCACCTCAGTTCCCAAGTCCAACTTTCTCCTTACCAACAGTACTTGCATTTTGCCTGTCTTTAATTTTAGTTCGGTCTTTCTCGTGTAGTCCATTACTGGGATTAGGTATATGGATTACTTCCTTGGAGTTAGATGGTAAGGAACAGTAAAAAAATTTTTACTTTATTTACTCAAATGTTTAGCTGCCAAACTCCAAGGGACTCTGTGTATCATTAGCATAGTGACAGCATGCCACTTCAAACATTCCAAGGATGTCAAGTGAGGAGAATCAGGACCACACTTTAACTTCCAATGAAGCTGATTTGTTGTTCATGTCTATACTAATGGTCAGCACTAAATTTGCACTTTTCCAGAGTTAATGGAATTCAGGGGGGTGGGGTAGATTTGGATCACTTGTGGGAATGTAATGATTCAAGGCTGATTCCTTTCTTGACTCCGCCCCCAGGCTCTGCCTTGTCTTTTCCTATAAATGAACTCCAATAGTAGTTTCAAATAGATTTTGAAATAGATTTGGTCGGTATAGGGGACAAAATAGAATACTATGGGATACCACGGATCAATCAGTGACAGGTGTAGAACAACAGCTTCCAAGTACCACCTTTTGAATATGTTTCAACAGAAAAGACCATAACTACTGCAAAACTGTACCCTCTAAGCCCAACCCTGCCAGGTGATCCATGAAGATAATTATAGTCAGTGATTACAAGTATCTCCAAGTGGTCTCAGAGAACTTGTAGAGTCATATTCCCTTGGTCTACACTCCAAAAAGATATTAATGTAGGAAGTCTTAGCAGTATAATCAAATTATTTGTTTGATCTTACCTCTCCGTCATCAGTAAATACAATTTTTGTATTTACTTTAAAATTTCTCTTCAAAACCTTTTTAGCTTCTTTTGTTTTAGTTATTTTCTTCTTCAGTTTTACATTCGGTTTTATCTAAAAAAGATGGAAAAAGGAAGACAACCTTTATCATAAAAGATTCTGAAATAAGTATTATTCAATCAGCACCCCCAAAAAATTCTACCTTTCAGTGTTTTTTTAATAAATACATTTCTAATCCTGCACATTTTAGAGATACATTTTAAAGTGTGATGTGATGTCTCAAAAAGAAAAGAGAAGCCAATAGGGAAATTTGGTGATGTGATATCTCAAAAAGGTAATGGGAAAATTTCTAAAGTCATTAATACATCAGACTGTGATGAGGCAATACTATCTCAATACAGTTGCATTTTTGCACCCTTAACTGAGCCAGAGAAAATCTAATAATTTTCCAATATGTTTTTGCAGTTTCTAACCACATTAGCTTTTTCCAATAATGTTTATAAACACTAGTTTGTTTCATAAATAATTAATACTATTCAAACTACAATGATTAATACAGGTTATTTAATAGCTAAGAAGATATACAACAGAAATATCTTAGGGGCAACATAATAAATATCTAAATTAATAACTGGCAAAACATCTAAATTAATAAATGGTAATGAATTACTTTTTATTAAACTCACAATGCCTTTCAATTTGTAATACAAGCTCATCAATATTGGTTTTAAATTTATAACCAGTACCTATTCAGGCCAGTTAAATGTGGAAACAAAAGTTTAGATTGTTGAAAAGGAAATTCAAAACGTCCTGAATTTTCTCCTTTTATATCTATCTCTTTATGTATGTCTGTGTTTATGTGTGAGTTGAGGGATTTTCTATTCTTTTCAGAAAATGCTCTGGCAGTCTCTCATGAAACTCCCAGGGCGAGAATGTTTCACTGACATGTAATGCCATCTTAAACTGAATGTGTGGATTTTCCACAATTAATCATAGCCTCCCATGAGGGGAGTTCCCAGCTTCCCGTGAGGGGGGTTTCGGGGGTGTCATGGCTCAGTGGTTAAAGTCACTGAGCTTGTCACCTGAAAAGCTAATGGGTCAGGATTGAGACCTGAGTAGCACACAACGGGTTAAGTTTCCATTCCCTGCCCCAGCTTCTGCCAGTTTGCAAGCATGTAAATGCAAGTAGGTTAATAGGTACCACTTTGGTGGGAGGGTAACAGTGATCCCTGTGCCTTTGGCCATTATGGCTATATGACCATGGAAAATGTCTTTGGACAATGCTAGCTACCTTGGCCGAAAGGGAGATGAGCACCATGCCCCAGAGTCAGACAGGGAAACCTTCACTTTTCCACGTGTTCAGATCATGCAAAACCTCTTCAAAGGTTAAGAGAGAATTCATTAAATTAAATTAAATTTGTACCAAATGTACAGGTACAGATTAGATCAAACCTGGCTCAACAGTAGTAACTGTGAGAGGGATCTTGGAATCCCAGTGGACAATCATTTAAAAATGAGTCCAAAGTGAGGCAACAGCCAAAATAGCCAATGCAAACCTAGGCTGCATTAACAGAGGGATAAAATCAAGGTCACATGAAGTGGCCAGTGAGAATTATTTGATCATAAAATACAGAATTAGCCCTGCTGGGTCAGACTATCTTAGCCAACAATTTTGTTTCTTAAAATATATCTCACAAGCAGGGGACGGATCGTACAACTATGTTTAAAAATAAATACAGCCCATCGATATTTTTTTTTTTTTGCTTTTTCACATATTTCAACATATTGAATATTTAAAATTAGTTTCAGAATAGATAAAACATTTACAATTTGTAACCCACTGTGCATTTAAATAAACCTAAATGCAAATTTCACATGGTGAAAAACTAAGCCCATCCTTACATTTATCACTCTTTCAAACACCTAAAACCATAAGGTGTGTTTGGTGAAAACCAAAATAAGCACTTCACCAGAAGAACCTTGATACTAACTGTAAGGCATGGTGGTAGAAATGCTACAGTTTGGGGCTGCTTTGCTTTGCTCCGTCCATCAGGATCTCAGCAGCTCACCATCATAGAATCCACTACAAATTTGTTATTGTATCAGAAGGTGTTTGAAGATAATGTGAGCTTGCAAGGTGACCCTAAACATTACAGTTAATCCTCCAAGGAATGGCTAAAAGAAAAAAGAAAGAAAGAAATAGAGTGTTCTGGAATGGCCAAATCAATTCCCATTAAGATGCTATGGGGTGAATAGAATAGAATAGAATAGAATAGAATAGAATAGAATAGAATAGAATAGAATAGAATAGAATAGAATAGAATTCTTTGTTGGCCAAGTGTGATTGGACACACAAGGAATTTGTCTTGGTGCAAATATTCTCAGTATACATAAAGAAAAGATACATTCATCAAGAGTCAAGAATCATAAGGTACAACACTTAATGATAGTCATAGGGTACTATAAGCAATCAAATCATACTAGGAAACAGTCAATATAAATCGTAAGGATACAAGCGACAAGTCATACAGTCATACAGTCACAAGTGGGAGGGGATAGATGATAAAGAGTGATGAGAAGATTAACAGTAATAGTAGTGCAGACTGAAACCGGCTGTGTAAGAAAACCCTTATGAAAATTAGACTCAGCTTAGGGTAAGATAGACCTCTCCTCTGCAAACTATCTTTTAAAACCTTCCAAGGTTTTGGCCCATCTCTCTGACATGGAAATTGATTAATTCCAATGGTTAATTATGTACTGTAGGAAGAACTGTTTTCTAAATCTTTTTCCTACCAGACTTAACTTGATGGCCCCTGATCTTATCATCTTAAGAAGGAGGAAAAAGCATTCTCCTCATCCACTTTCTCCATGCTATGCATAAGAAATTACCCAAAATATTTTTTGGCCCAAACATTAATTGGAGTCAACAATGCTTGCTAGATTGCAGATGATCTGACTCTGGGGGAACAGCTTCTGATCTTCAGACATCATAACATGTACAATATGTGAAGGGTGCCACAGATGCTACTTAAAACTACTTTTATACTGATGATTTCTCCACCATTTTATAGCAGGAATGGAAAGATCAGAGGATGATCTAAGTGGCAAAACAACAAATTCCCCATTTTTTTTGTCGTCATAGGTTGGAACAACCACTACATTAAAGATAAGGCATAAATCATTAAATCTAAACAAGTAGTCCTCAATTTACTACAGTTCTTTTAGTGACTATTCAAAGTTAAAGCAGCACTGAAAAAAGCGACGTGACCGTTTGTCACACTTATGACCTATGGTCACATGATCAAAATTCAGAAGCCTGGCAACTTATTCATATTTATGATAACTTTGTTGCTAACTTAACAACTGCTGTGATTCACTTGACAACTCTGGCAAGAAAGGTTGTAAAATGGGGCAAAACTCAATTCACGAATGTTTCACTTAGTAACAGAAATTTTGCGCTCAATTGTGGTCGTCAGTCGAGGACTACCTGTATGTCCATGTAAAATGTGAGATTGGTAAGGAGAGAAGAAGCAAGGGCAACCTCTGAAGATGCAAAAATAATAATAATAATTTTAAAAAAACATATGAAATGCTTTTGTTGAAATCACTGGAAAGAATTGCCAAGGACAATTCAATCAAACAAGCAGAGAACAATATTTCTTATTTCCCACAGTCACTGCATCCATCGCAAAAGTGAGAAATGGATATTGGTTGCATGCTCTGCAAAATGATTTGCATTAAAAAAAAAAGGAGAAGAAAATAAGAGGAGAAAAATGAAGGCATAAAAATACATTTCTTTGTGGACTTTAATGAAAATGACATAATCAATTTATACTGCCCTCTGGAATCCAATTTTTAACCTGCCAGTTTCAATAACTGTTTTTAACATTGGGAATAAAAGCAGCTGCAGGCAAGTGGTTGGGGGAGAGATCCTGAACCTGATTTTCTTCATAACATGTCATATCATTAACAATGAATTTTTGGCAACTATTCTGCAGTTTGGAAAAGAGACTTCGTTTCCTTAGAAATATCACAATTTTAAAATGGAAGGAAAACTAGAGATAAAAAGATCTGAGTTCAATATCATAGCTGTGTGTTTGTGTGTGTGTCATCGAAGAACTTGTGTTGATAATCACAACCGCATAATGAAATCCTTGGTGTCACAACATTGAAGGTGGTGGTGGGGGGGTTTCGATTGCACAGCCATTGTTGTCATCTTCACTTTTTCAACCCACCCCAGTAGATTCCTCTGCTCTGCATCATTCTCTGTATCCCCAAATTTGGAGGGGGCGATGAAAAGGGAAAGCCATCAACAGGTGGATACAACTCAGAAATGTAAATTAACAAGATTCTTAAGCTGGTGGGAAGCAAACTAGAAAAAACTAATTGATTAAAATTAAGTCACTTGAAAGAGGCAGTGTGCTGTTTAAAGAATCTCAAATACATGCTATAACTGATGTAATATTAAAGAGAGAGAAGTACAATAGTTTATTTCTATTTGACAAAAAACAAATTACCATCTCTATTCATTGGCACAAAAGTTCACTTACAAATCTTAGAACATCTGATGAAATAAGATAAACATATGACAGGATATAAGGGTTTAAAGTTAGTCTAGTCCAGGGCTGTTAAACTCCTTCAGATGCTGCTATGCTCTTTAGTCTGACTACCACCCTGAACTAGACTGAAGTACTTTACAAGCCTGTGCCAAATACCAAAAACAGACACCCAGCTGACACACGTTGGAGTTCAAATACTTGAGAAGTATTATCGGAAGACAAAGAAATTGACTCTAGGCTCAGCATACCAAATGGGTACTGAGTGGCCAATCAATACAATATCCATAACTCCACAGAGCTAAAAGTCTACCGAGCTATGGTTATCCCTTCCCTCCTATATGGATGTGAGTCCTAGTTTCTGTATCAAAGGCACATGAAACTAGAGAAATTTCTTATGTATGTCCTCTGCTCCATCTTTGCTATTTGTTAGCAAGACTATGTCTCCAACCAGGAGAACTAAAGAGTGTACATTAATGTATGGTTTTTATTGTTATTTTTTTTCCTAAAAGATTTCAGGGTTTTTTTTCAATTGCATTTTTAGTTTATCTGTTATAT